TCCTTATCTCTGTCTGTTTTCCGAGCGCAGAGTTTGGGTGGGGGTCTCCCAGGGGCCCGGCTGGAGCGAGGAGGAGGGTCCAGGGTTAGGGTTTCCAGGATTTACGGCGCGCCTCTATATACCAAACGCATGCATCCTGTAATTAAAGCCCCATACTTGCCTCCAGCCCCGGGCCCCCCGTGCATTAAAGGGGCCCCTCCCTCGGCTGCAGCTCCGCGGGGCCCCTCCCCCACCCGCTCGTAATCACATTTTATGGAGAGTATGCGGCACTAATGAAGCCTGGATGACACGCCGCTATATACAGCCGCTGCCGGGAGAGTTACGAGCTCGGGCCGGTCAAAACGCACGTAAAAGTCGTATGTCGTGCGGAGTGACGCTTTTATGTCAGATGCCCTTCCTGGAACTGAAGCGGCGTCGCAGTTTTGGGACCAGCGAAGTAAAATTGTTTGATAATATTTGAGGAGAGGGTTTGGAATTTATGACGTCCTCTTTAAAATCGTAAATGAGCAGGAGTTCAGGTGAAGTTTGAACCTCTGACGCTTCGGCTTAAACCTTCCAGCCCCCGATACGCATCACTAAACCAGGACTAAACCAGGACTAAACCAGGACTAAACCAGGACTAAACCAGGTCTAAAACCAGGACTAAACCAGGACTAAACCAGGACTAAACCAGGTCTAAACCAGGTCTAAACCAGGTCTAAACCAGGACTAAACCAGGACTAAACCAGGACTAAACCAGGACTAAAACCAGGACTAAACCAGGACTAAACCAGGTCTAAACCAGGACTAAACCAGGTCTAAAACCAGGACTAAACCAGGACTAAACAGGACTAAACCAGGAAAACTAAACCAGGACTAAACCAGGACTAAACCAGGAAACCAGGACTAAACCAGGACTAAACCAGGACTAAACCAGGACTAAACCAGGTCTAAAACCAGGACTAAACCAGGACTAAACCAGGTCTAAAAGGACTAAACCAGGACTAAACCAGGACTAAACCAGGACTAAACCAGGACTAAACCAGGTAAACCACCAGGACTAAACCAGGTCTAAACCAGGACTAAACCAGGACTAAACCAGGACTAAACCAGGTAAAACTAAACCAGGACTAAACCAGGACTAAACCAGGACTAAACCAGGACTAAACCAGGTAAAACCAGGTCTAAAACCAGGACTAAACCAGGACTAAAACCAGGACTAAACCAGGACTAAACCAGGACTAAACCAGGTCTAAACCAGGACTAAACCAGGTCTAAACCAGGTCTAAACCAGGACTAAACCAGGACTAAAACCAGGTCGAAACCAGGTCTAAAACTAGGACTAAAACCAGGACTAAAACCAGGACTAAACCAGGTCTAAACCAGGTCTAAACCAGGTCTAAACCAGGACTAAACCAGGACTAAACCAGGTCTAAACCAGGACTAAACCAGGGACTAAACCAGGACTAAACCAGGACTAAACCAGGTCTAAACCAGGACTAAACCAGGTAAACCAGGTCTAAACCAGGTCTAAACCAGGTAAAACCAGGACTAAACCAGGACTAAACTAAAACCAGGTCTAAACCAGGTCTAAAACTAGGACTAAAACCAGGACTAAAACCAGGACTAAAACCAGGACTAAACCAGGTCTAAACCAGGTCTAAACCAGGACTAAAACCAGGACTAAACCAGGACTAAACCAGGTCCTAAACCAGGTCTAAACCAGGACTAAACCAGGACTAAAACCAGGTCTAAACCAGGACTAAACCACTAAACCAGGACTAAAACCAGGTCTAAAACCAGGACTAAAACCAGGTCTAAACCAGGACTAAACCAGGTCTAAACCAGGTCTAAACCAGGTCTAAACCAGGTCTAAAACCAGGACTAAACCAGGACTAAACCCTAAACAGGTCTAAAACCAGGACTAAACCAGGACTAAACCAGGTCTAAACCAGGTCTAAACCAGGTCTAAACCAGGTCTAAACCAGGACTAAACCAGAACTAAACCAGGACTAAACCAGGTCGAAACCAGGACTAAACCAAGACTAAACCAGGACTAAAACCAGGACTAAACCAGGACTAAACCAGGTCTAAACCAGGTCTAAACTAGGACTAAAACCAGCTCTAAACTAGATCTAAACTAGATCTAAACCAGGTCTAAAACAGGTCTAAACCCAGGACTAAACCAGGTCTAAACCCAGGACTAAACCAGGTCTAAACCAGGTCTAAACCAGGTCTAAACCAGGACTAAACCAGGTCTAAATCAGGTCTAAACTAGGACTAAAACCAGCTCTAAACTAGATCTAAACTAGATCTAAACCAGGTCTAAAACAGGTCTAAAACCAGGACTAAACCAGGTCTAAACCAGGTCTAAACCAGGTCTAAACCAGGTCTAAAACAGGTCTAAAACAGGATTTAACAGGACTAAATCCTGCTGTGTGGACGTGTCCCCTCATTTTCTATCAATAATATTTTTAATTTGGTTCACTAAAGTCTGGACTTTATATTTTCTTTTATCAGACAAAACTTCTTATGTTACGATTTCCTCGTCTTTGTTTCTCTACAGCAAATCAAGTAATCCAAAGTATTCAGATTACATTACTCACTTTAAGTAATTTAATGGATTACGTTACAAACTACATTTTGGTGTATGTAATCTGTAATCTGTAGGGGATTACATTTTAAAAGTCACCTTCCCCACACTGGCCCTAGTGGAGAATGAATGTGCACAGATGTTCTAGATGTTCGTACAATCGTACACGAAGACACAAAGTCGGGTCTCGGGGAGAAGCAAATCGCAGCCAAAGTCGGGCAAATTCTCCTGTAGTGCGGCGGCTTGAAGTTGAGTAAAAGTCGTGCTTCCTCTTCCCACTGCGAGTAAATCTGAAGTGACAAAAACTTCACGTTGATTCTGAAACGATCTGAACGTTTGTGTTTCTTGCGGCGCCTCTTCACGTCCGATTCAGTTTGTCTGTTTTTGTGTTACTCCACTTGAGCAGTACTCTTTTTTTTAACTTTTACTTTGTTACTTTTCTGAGCTCTCGTGCCCGTGTTGTGAAAGTGTGTTGTCACAGTTTTTAGAGCACATGGTGTCTTCGTAACTTCATGTTTTTTTGTCTCATTTGTGACACCGGGCAGCGTTACATAAGAGCCGGGGCACTGTGGTTTTCTATTGAGTTATTGTACACTGTAATCAGATATGAACACACACAAACACACACACAAACACACACACGGGGTCCTTATCACACTGTGAGAGGAGCGCAGGGGAAATGCCGGTGACCCCTGTTGGTCAAAGTGGAGATTGCAGTTGTTTTTATTTTTGTTTTGCATTTAGTCTTGCTTTATAATTTTACGTTGGGTTTGGGTTTTGGTTGGATTTTGTGACTAAAAACAAGAAAATCACGATTATTTACTAAACAGTTTTCTTTAACATTACTTTTTATGTAAATAAGATGATAAACGATAAATTTCCTGCCTTCTTTGTCATTATTCTTAGTTTGTACGACCATTGGGAGTGTGCAGAAATATCAAAGGGTCCGGTCAAGTGGTAACGGAGGGAAACAGGGTCAGATTTTTGACATTCAAATGTCTCTTATTCATTCAGAAACTAGAGGAACTATTGAAATAAGTAAAGTATCAGAATGTAGGAAAAAGTTACACTCCAACAGGGTCAAGTTAAACCTGTGATATTCTTTCAAGTTGTTCACAAAAAATTTAAAAACTCATGTTGGTAACGGAGGGAATGAAATATGCAGCACTTTTTGGTCAATAAATCCAAACAGTGATAACTCTTGGTTCTCACTTACATATCCTTAACAAACTGGTTTGAATATTTGCTTCATATAGTTTTCTACCATATGGTACAAGATTAGGTTGAAAAACCTCTGACTTTTTGACTCATGAGATTTTTTATTAAGAAAGTTCATGGTAACGGAGGGAAAAGTAACGGAGGGAAAATTGTTCAAACAAGTAGAAGGTGCAGGATTTTACATAATTTATTGCTTTTTTCTTCTGAATACTTTAATATTACTTCAAAATGAAAGGAAACTATTTCTATAAAATATGTCAGTCCTTCCAAGAACATTTTTATCATTTTAAATACTTTTTTTTTTTTTTTTAAATCATGTACCTTTATCAACAGTTCAAAGATGGAATAACACAAGATATGATGAAATACATCCATTTATTTACATGATTTTCAGGTCTTTGAAATTTGGGAAATAATTTTTGTTCCATGTTTCATACATGGTCTGTTTAAAACATATGGAACTTTAGAACCAAAAATGGTACAGAAAAAAGGTCAACAGTTTCATAAACTAGAGTACATATGTATCTGTTCAATACATTTTTATATCAGATGCATTAACTTGAATTTTTGGCCTTGTTGTTTACTTCTGCTTGACCGGGCCTCAAAATATCGATATATCGTGTCGTTTAATGTGATGCTACAGTATCGATATCATGGGCTGCTGAATCAATATATCGCCAAGAGTATTTTTTTACGTGTTTTACGAAATTATTTTGTTACAGCTACAGTTTTGTTGCTTGTTCAGATGAAGGAAACTCATTTATGCAACACATCTGACATTTTTATATTATTATGTGTAGTTAATATGATTAAGTGAGATTCAGGAGCAGGACCAGGCCTCAGCCGCCCTCTCCTCTCACCAGTGAACCACAACTCACCACGACCACACCTCTAATTTCCCACAAGCCTAAATGTAGCAGCCTTTCCCATCATCCCTGTTTGTCTCGGCGAACTCGACCCCGCCCTCCCATCCCCTATTTTGTCTTTCTGTCATAAGACCCCCACAAGGCCAGTTGAAGATTGAGACGAAGCCCCCACCCAGAGTCTCAACCCAGCCATGTCTGCCCCGCCTCGTACATTATCGATAAACTTCTTGGCACTATGTCGTTGTTGCCGTGGTTCTACCTAGTGAAATTATTATTATATATTTTGCAGCTGTTTACAGATTGATGATTGACCTGTGTGTGTTTGTGTTTGTGTTTGTCTGCAGCTCTACGAACTGGACGTTGACCCCAAGAGGAAGGAGTTTCTGGATGACCTCTTCAGCTTCATGCAGAAAAGAGGTACAGTGTCTTCACCTGACCGCACCACAGATGTGTTAGGGTTAAATCCATGGATCTATTAAAATAACTGGACAGGGTGTTGCTGCTTGTAGCTGCCTCCAGTTGACGTAGCGACACTCACTGGAACTTCAGCAGAAAAAATCTCCTGGGCTGAGAGAGGATTTGTCTCATAGAGGCAATGTAATCACAAACTGCGCGTGTTTGTTTCGGATTTTGTGGCGATTTTTACCTATTTTTAGATCATAAAGTTTTCCTCAGCTCAAAATCCTTTAGTTCTCTTAAAAAACGCTTTATAATTGTTCCCTTTGGTTTCCCTCTGCTCCTTTCGCTCTGATTGGTCAAAGCAATCACGTGATAGACAAGACCGCGCTCCTTGTGTGCGCTTGCGTGCATTGCCGTGGGAAGAAAAGACACTACTGCACATGCTCAATCGGCCCAGAGCCACCGGAAGAACCTCGCCGGGCTCAATGCAAATCTGGAGTCATGCGCCACTGAAATCCGTGTATCATTCGTTCATTCATTTTTCAATATAAAACCAAAAATAAGAAAACGAAAAAACAACAGTTTTCTTCGTTATTTGTCTCCAAAACCAAAATGAAAAAAGGGATAACGATTCGTTTTTTTCAGTTTTCGATTTTGTGTTTAAATGAAGAATGGAAAAAACGGATAACGGCCGTTTCCTGTTTACGTGACTTGTGTGATGGCGATGCCGAACTTTTGCACCGCATACGGACTGAATCAGGACGGATCCAGGTCCGAGACCAGAGCGGGACTGAGACCGGGACCAGACCGGGACCAGACCGGGACCAGGGCGGACTCAGCCTCAGCTTCGAGCTCCGGCCCTGCCGTGGGCTCTGAGCCTCTGGTCCAAGTCTCACCGCATACGGACTGAATCAGGACGGATCCAGGTCCGAGACCAGACCGAGACCAGAGCAGGACTGAGACCGGGACAGAGCTGCTCTGGTCCTCCGCGCTCAAGAACCGCGGCTGGTTCCGAGGTGGTGCAAAGCATCCGACTGACGCTTTCACACCAATGAAAATGAATCGAACTAAGAGCTTTTGGTTCAAATGGACCAGGTCCGGGACCAGACCGGGACCAGAGCGGGACTGAGACTGGGACCAGACCGGGACCAGAGCGGGCCTGAGACCGAGACCGAGACAAGACCAGGACCAGAGCGGGACCAGACCGGAGGCTCAGAGCCCACGGCAGGGCCGGAGCTCGAAGCTGAGGCTTGGACCCCGTGGAGGCTCGGAGTCAAAGCTCGGAGTCAAAGCTCGGAGTCCGCCCTGGTCCCGGTCTGGTCCTGGTCTCAGTCCCGCTCGGGTCTCGGTCTGGTCTCGGTCTGGTCTCGGACCTGGATCAGTCCCGGTTCAGTCCGTATGCGATGCAAAAGTCCGGCATCGCAGTCACTGAAGTCACGTAAACGGGAAACGGCCGTTATCCGTTTTTTCATTTTGGTTTTGGAGACAAATAACAAAGAAAACTGTTGTTTTTTCGTTTTCTTATTTTTGGTTTTATAATGAAAAATGAATGAATGAACGAATGATACACGGATTCACTGAGCTCGGCCCATTGACTTGAATGGGCGGCCAATTAAAACACCGGGGCTTGTTTAAATCAGAGAAGTCAACCAACCAATGAGAACAGAGAACAAGCAAAACAGAACAGTCGCCCGCCTAATAGTCTCTATTCATGCTCACATCACAGGAAGACGTTTGGAAACATGCGATGGCAACAAATGTAAATACATCATGTAATTATTTAAATATAAACACTTCATATAAATTAGGGTTGTCCCGATCCGATCACGTGATGGTGGACTCCGGCCGTTATGTTCCGATCAGGTATCGGATAAATAATATATGTATATAACACACAGGACACACAGCACACAACTGTTTTTTTTTATTTACTGTCTGTCCAGCGCTGGGACTTTTGGGTCGTGTCGCGCTCGGACGCTGTTTCCTGTGGTTCTGTGTCCCGTGTTCACACCTGCGCGGCCGATGGCGTCATCACTCGAGTTGGCGCTTTTGGCGGGGAGGGTGGGAAAAGCGGCACAAAGCGTTTATTGAGCGGTGGGAGCGATGTGGCGGTGCTGCGCTGAGTGGGTTTATGGATGTGGAGGCGGTGCGGTGCTTCTGTCATCTTGTTTTTATTTATTATAAGATCTTGTATTATTTGGATATCATGCACTAACCTAAATATTTCAAATATAAAGCACATTCTTCCATAAAATATCAAATATACAAAGTGTAGATTGTGCAGAGTCGAGTCTCAGGTCTGATCTGGTTCTGGTCTGGTTCCTGTTTTGTCCAGTTCATTAAGTTTACTAAGTTACACATTTCAAGACCAGACTGTGGTAAAAGTAAAGATTTTCAACGATGATGATGAATGGTTAGAAAAGTTTATAAAAAAATGTAAGTTTTGGATTTGATTTTTCACAATTTCAGCCCAAATCCTACACATGAAATCAGCACAATCACAATTCTTTGCTCATTTGCTCTTAGTTCATTTCATAAGTTTTATAAGTATCGATTCGGGACTCAGTATTGGCAGAAACTCAAACTCAAATGACTCGGATTCGGTGGCAAAAAAATGTGATTGAGACATAATTTTTTAATTGAACAAAATCAACAAAACACAAGACGAAGACGTGTTATTATTTGCCAAAAAGTACTAAACAAAAAAATAGGGCATGAACTTTTGTGGATTGCTTTCAAGTGGTGGGGGCCGGTCAAAGGGGCGTGGCGGGCCGGAGTTAGCCCACGGGCCTCATATTGATGACCCCTGTTTTAAAGTGTCAGAAAGAGTCCTTCCTTGGGCGTAAATTGTCTCTGTGGATGGAGTTTCGACGGAGTTTTCTGACAGAGGGATTCGGTTTTACGACCCAGAGCCACTTCCCGTGTTTTTGTTCTTTAATTCTCCGCCGTTTCCCGAAGTAAAACTACGATAATACTGACCGCCGGTACGATCCAGCGAAGTAGGTCGGAACGAGAGCAACATGAAGCTGTCATATGCACTTTACGAATTACTTGTGGAGTCATTTATAGAGAGTGTAGCGCTGGGCCGTCTCCTCTTTCATCGCGGTGGGTGGGGCCGTGCTGCCTTTCAAACACGAGTGCTTTATGGAGGCCCTGCCCCGTGGTTCCCAGGCTATAAGCAGAGCGGGACACATCGGATCTGCGAGGGGGGGATAGCCTTACCTCCTGTTGCCGTGCGCTCTGTACACTCCCCTGTATTAGAGAGCGGATCCAGTGACATCAGCTTGTGTTTCCCCGGACCACTAGAGAGCGCAGGGTCGTTTTGTGAGATCCAAATCCGCTTTAGTTCTAGAGTGGAGCGAGTTTTCCGAAATGCTGCGCAGAGATCAGAAAATGAAGGCCACAAAAAGGTAAAATTTGGTCATACAAGTCCTGAAACGATAAAACCAGTAAAAGCAAATCAAAGCAAACCCATAAAAATCATAAAATAACAGTAAATAAGTAAAATAAATAAAAGACAGAGAGGACCACACAACTCACGCGGTGTTAAAAGTCAGAGAATAAAAGTGGGTTTTAAGACGCACTTTTCTCTAGCTTCAGCCTCCGTGCACTTTACAACTCGCCCAAAATTCTGCTGCCCGCCTCATAACTGGAACCAAAAAACAAGAGCAAATAACCTTGATTTTAGCGTCGCTGCACCGTCTTCCATTTCGTTTCAGAGTTGATTTTAAGATTTTGTTGTTTGTTTTTGAAGCCTTGAATGTTTCGGCCCCATGTTACGTCTCGGACCTCATCATCCACCGTGGAGGCTGTTTGGATGTGGAGGAGCAGAACGTTCCAGAGTTTGGGTCTGGCCACAGAGAAGGTCTTGTCCCTCCTGGTTTTAAGTCTCGTCTTAGGCCCCGCGAGCTGGAGCTGGACCTCGGACCTCAGAGCGAGCAGGGAGAGTAAATCTAGGTGAAGTCCAAGACGTACACAGTACCGGGGTCACAGTACATCTCGGACCTCAACAGTGATCTATGGAAGCAATTTGACAGGAAAACAAAAATTAGATATTTTAGAACTCCTTTAATCTTTGCAAGTTTCTACTGAAACATGCCCCATTATGTTGGAGAAATTGTGGTGACGGATCACTCACACATCTTCTTAACTTATTTAATCCCACCCCCACTCTTCTAATCCAACACAAAGAGCTTTCTTTTGTGTTTTTCAGACATATTGAATTAAAGTATATGAACTATTTACAAGTGCGGACAAAGAGTCACTGTTATGTATGAGTTTGAAGATCGTTTGACACACAAATTGCGATAAAAATTCAATTAATTGCACAGACTTAACTAGAGGAAACCCTCCGACAAAGACAGAATGGACAGAGAATAAAACAAGTCTATATCATGGAACATCTGACAGTCAAACTTCAGATGAAAATGAACTTATCTCAGAGCGATGGACTCTGGTGACTGTTCACCTGAATAATCACTAATATAATTCTAAAATCCTTTGTCAAGGTTTGTTCTAGACGCTTATCTGCACTGCTGATCTTAAGCAACTAAAGCAAAAAAATAAATAAATATGAGATATCTTGTGCAATCTCCAACGTAAATCTGCATTTTAAAACATTTTCTCCGCCTCAGATTCGCAGATTTTGGCAAAAACTCCCAAATCCATCTGGATCCGTGAATTCTGCTCACATTTTCCTGCTCGTGAAACTCACTCGGAAGATTTTACGGTTTAGTTTGCGCAGTTAACAATGCATCAAAAGCCTCAGATCAATACCGGCCTCATCATGGTGTGGGAAAACTTTCGAGAGTTCCACAGTACGGCAGCGAACAGTGTGTCTTATCTATCAAGTTACAGGTCGGGTCTGTGGAGAGGTGACACTGCTCCCTGTAAGAGCGCGTGTTTTTCAAATAAAAGAACAATAATTGAGTGAACGCAGGACGGAGCATGGTGTTCCCTCAGGATGTGGCAGGACGAACGGCGGAGCACATATGTCCACGCCGACACGGACTCAATATTCCATTAATGAGACTAAACGAAGATAATCTAATACTAAACTGATTTCCTCTCCATATTTCTACATTATCTCCAGACTGAACCCAGCGAACCCAGAGCCTGTTCATGTTCCACCGTGTTATGTCTGCAGCTCCAGACGTTTAATGCTTCATTACTAATCTGATTCCAACCGCACTTTACCCACAAGATTCACCCGGACGCTTTTAGAGGATCTGGATGTAGCCCACGCTCTTACAGTCCTAAAACAGTTCTGCAGTACTGAACCTGCCACAGCCTGAAGACAGAGGACGCATCCAAGTTTGTCTCGTTCTCAGTACCGTATTTTTCGGTTTGGGTGTTTCCTTACACTACCGTTCAAAAGTTTGGGGTCACTTAGAAATGTCCTTATTTTTGAAAGAAAAGCACTGTTTTTTTCAATGAAGATAACTTTAAACTAATCAGAAATACACTCTATACGTTGCTGTTTTTTTGATGTAATATCTACACAGGTGCACAGAGGCCCATTTCAAACAACTATCACTCCAGTGTTCGAATGGTACAATGTGTTTGCTCATTGCATCAGAAGGGTAAAGGATGATTAGAAAACCCTTGTGCATCATGTTAGAACAGGTGAAAACAGTTTAGTTTTGGTTAGAGAAGCTATAAAACTGACCTTCCTTTGAGCAGGTTGAGTATCTGGAACATCACATTTGTGGGGTCAATTAAAAGTTCAGAATGGCCAGAAAAAGAAAACTTTCATGTGAAACTCGACAGTTTATTCTTGGTCTTAGAAATGAAGGCGGTTCCATGCGAGAAATTGCCAAGAAACTGAAGATTTCAGAGAACAGCACAAAAAGGCTCCAACAGAGTAGAAAGAGAAGTGGGCAGTTTGGCCGTACGGTACAAGAAGTGCCCATCCAGCCAATCCAACTTGTGGGAGGGGATTCTTGAAGTGTGGGGGGAAATTTCTCCAGATAATCTCAACAAATTAACAGCTAGAATGCCAAAGGTCTGCTATGCTGTAATTGCTGCAAATTGAGGATTCTTTGTCGAAAGCAAAGTTTGAAGGAAAAAAAATATATATTTCAAGTAAAAATCATTATTTCTAACCTTGTCAATGTCTTGACTATATTTTCTGTTCATTTTACAACTCATGGTGGTAAATAAAGTGTGACTTTTCATGGAAAACACAAAATTGTCTGGGCGACCCCAAATTTTTGAACAGTAGTGTATCAACTAAAATGTTTGAGTGAAACGTGGAGAGGTTCTAGTCTTGTGTGTGAGTATCTGCTGCTCCTGTTCCTCCTGTACCACTGTCACTTCACTCTACTGCGCATGTCTCCTGCAGAAAGAGCCTCTGTCCTGTCTGTATCATGTCAGTCGATCGCAACGTTACTTCTGCACCACTCAACTATTTAACATTTAAACTTTAAACTTATAAAGACGACTGAGAAGACTGAACACAAATGCCCCCGAAAACAAAATCAGATTCTGCAGATTACAAACTGCAAGTCGTGAAATCTGCAGCTGAAAACGGAAATGGAGCAGCAGAAAGAAAGTTTGGAGTGAGAGAGAAACTTGTGACACCGGGAGGATGAACCATGAAACTTTCCTGAAGTCACTGGATGGATGGACAAAGCCTGGACTTCAGTGACACCGAAACCATCCTGTCGGGATTCAGAAAGACCCGAATAATTCTAACTGGAACTGATGCTGAGTCTGACGACAGCGACACAGAAGAGGAAGCGGCGCAACGTTTACCTCCGGAGTCGAGGAGTTGTTCAGAAGTGACACCGAGGATGAAGAATTGAATGGATTTAGTGATTTGGAGTGAGATGGAGAGTTTGTTAAACTTGTTCTGTTCTGTTGTTTATGTTATAGTTTATCTGAAGAACTGTTCATATGTGACGTTAACAGTCTGTTGTTCTCTCTTCTATTGTTTTTACTACAACTTCACTTTACACAGGAAATGTTGGTTCCTGGTCTCTGATTCTATAAAATGAATTTCCCCCAAAAAGTGCGACTTATATAAGTTTTTTCTTTGGCTGGTGCGATTTAAGCCAGGTGTACACTATGCGATTTTTGACCCTTTTTGAACAAATTTTTCACGTTTTGGGGATCGGGCCGAGTTTTGGCTTCATCGTGTGTCGTGCTTTGTGTCGTAAACATGGGGTAAAGAAATCCGATTTATACCTCACAACCTGCTCCCGATCGACATTTGTAGGTCGTAAGAAAATGAAACTTGTTTGAAATCCAGTCGCCTCTCGTGAGGGTTTCGCTCTGTTGAAGTTGTTCCACGAGCTGATTTGCCAGAATCTGTCAGACTGAGCATGTGCGGACACAGAAGCAGAAGCAGGACATGAGGTTGTGGGGGACGATGGCGCCAGCGACTGTTTTGGACACAGGACATGGAGGCGCAGCTGATCGAGCAACACAGAACACAAGTTTGGTGAAAAACTTGATGCTTCTTACCTCCAGTTCCCTCTGAAGAACTGACAACCCGTACTGCCCACGTCTGCCCACGTCTGCCCACGTCTGCCCACGTCTGCCCACGTCTGCCCACGTCTGCCCACGTCTGCCCAGACATTTCTTTGACCAGATTCGTCGCCTCTTCTTTTTGTTCTTGTCTGCGCAGAGAATGGCACAAATTGCCAAGGCAGCGCGTCTGTTTTTTGCCTGGATCAGCATTGTGTCTGTGTTTTTTTAATTCCGTGGTTTTCTACTTCCGGAACAACAACAACTCCGGTCGTTATGTGAACGTACAGTGTGCTTACGCAGGTCGCGTTCGAGCATCGGTTTGTTCAGTGTGAACATGATTCATGAGCTGTGAACCTTTAAACCCTGCGATTTGGTCGTACAGTCTAAGCTGGGGCAGAGTGACACGACCGAAAATATCGCACAGTGTACGCCTGGCATTATACTCCGGAGCGACTTATAGTTTGAAAAATACGATATATGGAGAGAAAAAAGTAGTTACAGGACTTTTAAGAAGATTTAAATGGGGAAAATGTGGAGAAAACCGTTCTATTTCAGGACAGAAGGGTCATGTAAGCGTTTTTCTTCTATCTGTTGTTTTAAAGAGTTGTGTTGAGTTGTGTTGAGTTGTGTTGTGTTGTGTTTCCAGGGACCCCGGTGAACCGCATCCCCATCATGGCCAAGCAGGTGTTGGACCTGTACATGCTGTACCGCCTGGTGACGGAGAAGGGCGGCCTGGTGGAGGTCATCAACAAGAAGCTGTGGAGAGAGATCACCAAAGGACTGAACCTGCCCACGTCCATCACCAGCGCCGCCTTCACGCTGCGCACACAGTCAGTACCTCACACGCCCGCAGATTTATTTATCACACAACGGAGAAAATAAATAAATAAATGAAGCTCCACAGCGACAGTCCACCACGCACTTTTAGAACTTAAAGGTTGTACAGAGCAGTGGTCTCCAAACTCCCAAACAGCGTATGGGAGGAGACGCACGGCCTGGTTTAGTCCTGGTTACACCCAGTTTTTGTCCCGGTTTTAGACCTGGATTTAGACCTTGTTTAGAACTGGTTTAGACCTGATTTTATTCCTGGTTTTAGTTGTGGTTTAGTCCTGGTTATTGTTCTGGTTTAATTTTGGTTTTAGATCTGGTTTATACTTGGTTTAGACCAGGCTTAGACCTGATTTTAGTTCTGGTGTAGTTCTGGTTTAGACCTGGTTTAGACCTGATTTTACTCCTGGTTTTAGTTATGTTTAAATCCTGGTTTAGTCCTGGTTTAGTCTTGGTTTTAGACCTGGTTTAGACCTGTTTTAATTCTGGTGTAGTTCTGGTTTAGACCTGGTTTAGACCTGGTTTTAGTTCTGATTTAGCTCTGGTTTAATTCTGGTTTTAGATCTGGTGTAGTTCTGGTTTAGACCTGATTTTAGTCCTGGTTTTTGTTCTAGTTTAGTTTTGGTTTTAGATCTGGTTTATACTTGGTTTAGACCAGGCTTAGACCTGATTTTAGTTCTGGTGTAGTTCTGGTTTAGACCTGGTTTAGACCTGATTTTAGTTCTGGTTTAGCTCTGGTTTAGTCCTAGTTTTAGTTGTGGTTAAATCTTGTTTTAGTCCTGCTTTAATCCTGGTTTAGTCCTGGTTTAGACCTGATTTTAGTCTTGGTTTTAGTTCTGGTTTTAGTTCTGGTGTAGTTCTGGTTTAGACCTGGTTTAGACGTGATTTTACTTCTGGTTTAGTTCTGGTTTTAGTTCTGGTTTAGTCCTGGTTTTAGTTCTGGTTTAGTCCTGGTTTTAGTTCTGGTTCAGTCCTGGTTTTAGTTGTGGTTAAATCCTGTTTTAGTCCTGGTTTTAGACCTGGTTTAGTCCTGGTTTTGGACCTGGTTTAGACCTGGTGAACTGGTCGTGGATTCTCGTCCGACATCGCGACAAACTTCGTCCCGACTGCGAGGAAGCGACAGTTAGAAAAATCCGCTGAGAACCGCTGTGTCGGTCGAGTAAACAGAGTCTTGTGGCCTATGCAAACCATGTAATCCCAGAGCGCCGGCCGCTCAGTTACGCTAGAAATGTAGAGAGTTTGATTGACAACCCAAGAGACAATAGATAATGAATGTTTATCTGGCCCCAACACGTCCAAGATACGGATTTCATTCTTTTGATTATCATAATTACAAGGCTGCTGCATCTATATAAAGCTATTTTGAACTTTCACTGACAGTTTGAAACAACCGTTAAGTTCTCATTTATTATACTTTCCAAAAAAACTAACAAAAAGCATATTAAAAGTTTGAAAAGCACCCTTTAAATCAGGAGTAAAAACATCTTCCTCTGTCCTCCTGCAGATACATGAAGTACTTGTACCCGTACGAATGTGACAAGCGCGGTCTGAGTAACCCCAACGAGCTGCAGGCCGCCATCGACAGTAACCGGCGAGAGGGACGGCGCCAGAGCTTCGGCGCCAGCCTCTTCACCTACTCCCCCAACGGCACGCCCACCATGCTCTCCTCCTCCAAGATCCCTGCGCCCGGGGTGGGCATGTCTGTGGGCATGTCCATGGGCACCAACGGAGCCACGCTCACCCCCATCCAGAAGATCAAGAAAGGTAAAAACACACACGTACACGCACACACGCACACACGCACACACACACACACACACGTACACACACACACACACACACGTACACGAAAAAGACCTCAACTGCATAAGTAAGATATTTGGAATTATACAGCAAAGAAACACATTTAAATAACTCAATTCAATATTCAGAATCCACCCATTTGGTTTATCAACAGCTGCAAAGCCTGGGCCTTTTCTCACTCAACTTCACCATGAATTCCCTGAAATGGTTTTCACTTCACAGCTCTGCCTTTTAGCATCACCTAGTGCCTCTGCTCAATTTCATTTCTCTCAAGTGACTAGATCAGGAATCAGAATACACTAGACGTTTTAAAAGAACCCCGGACGTTGTAGAGCGTGCACCGGCCAATCAGCTGTGAGCTGTGAAGTCGTGACGTCAAACTCGTGGCTTCTGTCTGTGTCCGTTTTGTGGAACAGCACAACAGTAAACAAAGTGTCGAGATGCATGTAGACGAAGACAGACATTCTGTGTTGGCGAAGATTCCCGAGATCAAGGATTCAAAGCCAGAACTAAGAGAATGTTTAGTGAATTTCATCAAGGGGAAAGACATTATTGTCCTTCTTCCTACGGGATTTGGTGCATTTCATATGTCACCACCAAACAGCAGCGATTGGTTAAATAAAAAAAGTACCTGCCTACAGTCGAGTGAACTCAACTGATTCATCAGCCAGTTTCACAAGGTGAGATGAAAGCAAAAGGTGGATTCTAAAATCTAATCTAAAATCTGAAACAAGTTTGGTGTTACTTTCAGTTGATATTGTGTCTGTACATTCACACGTGTAGTTCACTGAGAATCTACAGTGAGAATAATCATGGAACATGAATGAAAAAGTGTTTCCAAACTGTGCAACCATCTCTTTATCATCCACTGACCTCCTCTCCTGTCTGTCTCTGTGTGTGTGTGTTTGTGTGTTTGTGTGTTTGTGTGTTTGTGTGTTGTGTGTTTGTGTGTTTGTGTGTTTGTGTTTGTGTGTGTGTTTGTGTGTGCACAGAGGAGGGGGGCCAGCCTCTGCCCGGCGTGGGCATGGCTCGTCTACCTGCCGGGGCGCTGGCCGGGCACTCGGTGGCGGCGGTGCAGGCCGCTCAGGCGGCCATGGCTGCTCAGGTCGCGGCGCTGGAGCAGCTGAGGGACAAACTGGAGGCAGGAGAACCTCCAGAGAAGAAGATGGCCGTGCCGGCGGAGGAGCACCACAGACTCCTGCAGAGAGCTCTACAGCACAACCTGCTGGCCATGAGCCAACTGCCCATGAACATCCGCATCAACCACCAGAGCACAGGTGAGTTCACACCAGTGATGTCACCACAGCCACTTTGGAAACTTCATTTCTGTACTAAGGATTAGACTCTATGCTCATTCCAATGCCACGATGATAATAATAATAATAATAATAATACATTTTTGAAAACTATTTAGACAGCAGAATGTGATTTTCCACATTAAATGGTAGAACTTTCTTTTCTCTTCCCATGTGGTTTTATATCAGTTTAATTTCACAGTGGTTTATGGACGTGTACTCGTCTGTGGCTCTTGTACTTGTTCTGATAAAGCTCAAGATCATCTAAGGCTGCGTTTACACAGAGCCGGGTTTGTTGACAAACTAATATTTCACTCCCTCCGTTTTCCAGAATAACATTGTACACACAGCATCGTTTTCAAAAAAGTTTTCGTTTACATCGACCCACATAAATACTCCATCGAGCGCCGTCATAACTACACCAGTGTGAATTTATTTCATAGTTTTACTCACAAATACCTTGAAAAACATGCATTAGTGAGCGGGGCTCGCCTCTCCACAGATCTGAAAAAGCCCTCATTCATCTTTGGTCATGGATATGATCCATCAGCTGTGTGCAAATGTAAACACATGACAAGTGTTTCACCAGAAGAAATGCGACTGCTGCTCTGATGCTTCATCTTCATCATCATCATCAGAGCAAAAGGGAAACACTGGTCACACTTTTAGTTCATCAGCTCCTAAAACTGTTTGTCTCACTTTACACGCAAATGCCAAACCGTAGTTTTTCAAAACCTCCACTCTAGCCGGAGTTTTTTGAAAGATTCGTTTTCAGAGGTGAATTTGTCATTTGCGTGTAAAAGATGGAACCAAATATGGACCTAAAGCTTCAGAAAAGCTTCAGTTCTGTCCTGTCAATGTCACTTCTTTAGAATTGATACCTGCTGAAATGAGTGTCTTTCAGTACTGTTTTAGTTCTGATTGTATCTCATTTTCTACTTTTGACAACCCTAGTATGTACTGGTTTCACTAAACTCATTTGGGTATTTTTATGTCCTCTGTATTCCTCTGTGATCCTGTGTCATCACGTGATTAAATTTAAACTTACAACCATCTCGCCCACAGCCGTTTATTACCACAAACCTTAACCTTTTTATGTCTTCACATTAAAGTAAAGCTCTGTGTGTATTTCGAGGCGGCGGCACCGGCCTGTGCAGCAGATTTAAAGCCGATACCAGATACGCTTAAAAGTCCAAATATTGACCTAATATATCGGCCACCCAATCCACGAATCTCTCTGTAATTCACGTGTCGTTTCTCCGAGCCCGTATCCACGCTCTCCATGTGTTACTATAACGGCTCACACCTCCACAGACGTGACGCTTCACCTTTACCGAGCGTGGCCGTTTGAACCTCCGCGAGAAGCCGCCTCATCGCTAACCACAGCAGCAGAGATAAGGAAGTCCCTCTCGCAGACGCACACTTCTGCTCAACGTATAGAAAGTACTGCACAAAGAGAGCGCGCAGGGAAATCCCCTATACGTATGTGTGTGTGTGTGTGTGTGTGTGTGTGTGAGCAGCTGAGACACACACACACACACACCAGAGAGTCTACGCTAAAGGAAAGTACCCTGAGACATAAAGAAACATACAGCACAAGAAGCTGGTGGTTTGGAACTTCCTATAGGCACCTTAACTTTTCCTCCCACTTGTAGTATTTTTATCGAAGCAGCTCTTACTTGAGTAAAAGTTGTGGTTTGTCTTCCCACTGTGAGTATCTGTGCTTATTTTCGAGACCCCCCTTTCATGATTAACTCTCGTTTTCACCGCCCCCGCTCTGTACTTCTGTGATACACGTAGGATCGGGCAGCACCGCCTCGTCATTTTGGTACAAATGTTTTAAGAAAAAGTCTTTAGTAACTTGATTTTGGTTCATATTTTACTTAAAAATACAGACTTTTCCACAGACTGAGATGGTTTATCTTCACTATTTTATCGGCTGAACGGAAATAACGTCATGTAATTTCCGCAAAAATAATAACTGCTGTAATTTTTGGGAGTATGAGTCGCACTTTTTGGGTAAAGTGAAGTTAAGACCGACCGGATCGAGTACGACACCTGGAATATGATTTATAAACCGCGCATAAAAGACAGAAACTTACCATATTTTTCTGTTTTTATTTTGATTATAAGTAATTCCGGAGTATAAGTCGCACCAGCCAAATAATGTGTAACGAAGAAAAAAACATTTATAAGTCGCACTTTTTGTGGGAAATTTGTTTTATAAAATCAGAAACCAGGAACCGACATCGGTTTAGACCTGGTTTAGACCTGGTTTAATCCTGTTTCAGTCCTGCTTTAGTCCTGGTTTAGACCTAGATTAGACCTAGTTTAGACCTGGTTTAGTCCCGTTTTAGTCTCTGTTCAGTACTTGTTTAGACCTGGTTTAATCATGTTTCAATCCTATTTTAGTCCTGGTTTAGACCTGGTTTAGTCCCGTTTTAGTCCTGGTTCAGTCCTGGTTCAGTCCTGGTTTAGTCCTGGTTTAATCTTGTTTCAGTCCTGTTTTAGTCATGGTTTAGACCTGATTTAGACCTGGTTTAGTCCTGGTTTAGACCTGGTTTAGTCCCGTTTTAGTCTCTGTTCAGTACTTGTTTAGACCTGGTTTAGTCCTGGTTTAATCATGTTTCAATCCTATTTTAGTCCTGGTTTAGTCCTGGTTTAGACCTGGTTTACTCCCGTTTTAGTCCTGGTTCAGTCCTGGTTTAATCTTGTTTCAGTCCTGTTTTAGTCATGGTTTAGACCTGATTTAGACCTAGTTTAGACCTGGTTTAGACCTGTTTTAGTCATGGTTCAGTCCTGGTTCAATCCTGGTTTAGACCTGTTTTAGTCCTGTTTTAGTCCATAAACATTTAAGTCTCACCGTAGCGTAAGTCACAGGAAACACCCAAACCATGAAAAAAAAGTGCGACTTATTGTCATAAAAATCCAGTATGCATCAGTTCCAGTTAGAATTACTCGGGTCTTTCTGAATCCCGACAGGATGGTTTCGGTGTCACTGAAGTCCAGGCTTTGTCCATCCATCCAGTGACTTCAGGAAAGTTTCACGGTGCATCCTCGCTCACTCCAAACTTTCTTTCTGCTGCTCGATTTTTCTGTTTTCAGCTGCAGATTTCACGACTCGCAGTTTGTGATCTGCAGAATCTGATTTCGTTTTCGGCGACATTTGTGTTCAGTCTTCTCAGTCTTTGTCTTTATAAGTTTGTTTATTAAATGTTAATGCGATCGAAGTGACGTGACGCGGACGGGACAGAGGCTCTTTCTGCAGGAGACATGCGCAGTAGAGCCGAGTGACATTGGTACAGGAGGAACAGGAGCAGCAGATACTCACACGCAAGACTAGAACCTCTCAACATTTTAGTAGATAAGTTGCACTGGAACCAGAGAATAAAAGCGGGTTTTAAGACGAGACTTAAAACATTCCTCTAGGGGGCAGAGCGTTCCAGAGTTTGGAGCCAGTTTGGGTCACAGAGAAGGTCCCGTCCTCCTGGTTTTAAGTCTCGTCTTAGGCCCCCACGAGCCGGAGCTGGACCTCGGACCTCAGAGCGCACAGGGGGAGTCAATTTGGATGAGGTCCGAGACGTATCGTGGGGCCGGTCCATTCAAAGCTTTAAAAACAAACGATCAGAATCTTAAAATCTACTCTAAAATGAACAGGAAGCCAGTGCAATGGCGCAAGAATTGAGGTTATGTGCTCACGTTTTTTTTTGGTTCCTGTTAAAAGTCGTGGTGGAGTTTTGGACTCACTGTAATCGGTAAAGTGTTTTTGTCAGATGCTGGAATAAAGTTCGTTAAAGTCGTCCAGGTGTGATGAAATAAAAGTGCGCACGACTTGTCCAAAAAGTTTAAAAAGTAAAATTTCCATATTCTATAACTTAACTCTTTTCACAGTGATGCTTTGCTCCGTAATCTTGGTTCTGAATCTGTTTTTTTTAACATATAAGTTATTTTTAAATTGTTCTCATCAACATTAAACTTTCTACAAATGACACAAAGCACAGTTAATGAGGCGTGATTAGTGCGACATCTAGTGGTGATTCTAGACACTACACAAGGTTCTATGCAGTGTTGGGAAGGTGACTTTTAAAATGTAATCCCCTACAGATTACAGATTACACACCCCAAAATGTAGTTTGTAACGGAATCCATTAAATTACTTAAAGTGAGTAATGTAATCTGATTACTTTGGATTATTTGATTTGCTGTAGAGAAGCAAAGACGAGTAAATCGTAAGATGTTTTGTCTGATAAAAGAAAATAAAAAGTCCAGATTTTACTGAACCAAATTAAAAATATTATTGATAGAAGAAGAGGAGACACGTCCACACAGCAGGATTTAGTCCTGTGAAATCCTGTTTTAGTCCTGGTTTAGACCTGGTTTAGATCTAGTTTAGACCTGGTTTTAGTCCTGGTTTAGACCTGTTTTAGGTCTAGTGTAGATATAGTTTAGACCTGGTTTAAGTCCTGGTTTTAGTCCTGGTTTAGACCTGGTTTTAGACCTATTTTAGACCTGGTTTAGATCTAGTTTAGACCTGGTTTTAGTCCTGTTTAGACCTGGTTTAGACCTGGTTTAAGTCCTGGTTTTAGTCCTTGTTTAGACCTAGTTTAGACCTGGTTTAAATCCTGGTTTTAGTCCTGATTTAGACCTGGTTTAGGTCTAGTTTAGATCTAGTTTAAACCTGGTTTAAGTCCTGGTTTTAGTCCTGGTTTAGACCTAGTTTAGACCTGGTTTAGACCTAGTTTAGACCTGGTTTAGATGTAGTTTAGACCTGGTTTAGATCTAGTTTAGACCTGGTTTACTTTCCGGCAATGAGTGGAATTATCGAAAAAAAGAAGAAGGAAAAAAAAGGGGGATACAGCCCAAAATGTGAAAACAGGAAAATACCGCTGTGTAATCCATTTATTTCAACAAAGTAACTGTAATCTGTAATTACATAACTCCGGTACATGTAATCTGTCACTCCTCAACACTGGTTCTATGTTACGCTCTTTCCTACCTTTCCTAAGTACAAGAAATGCCACACACATTTGTAAACACTTTGAAGAACACAAAGTGACGATTGGAAAACTTGTGTAAATGTGTTTCGGTGTGAAGAGTTTTGACGTCTCGTGTCGTTTGATTTTCCAGACGTGAAGCAGGAGTCTGCAGTGAACCTCACCACCAACGGCAGCAGCAGCATCAGCATGTCCGTGGAGCTCAACGGAGTCATGTACACCGGTGTGGACCAGCGCATACGCACACACACGCACACACAAACTCACGAACGCACACACACACACACACATATTTTCTGATTTCTGTTCTGATGTAGTTTCATCACCACAAACAGACCTGGAGTTGTGTTTTTGTTTTGTTTCATTCACACATTTACCACACAAACCTGCAGATTTAGGTCCTTCAAACAGGAAACCCTCCGTGCCACCTTGTGATGTCACGTGGTAATACAGGAAGTGCTCCACCGTGTTCTTAAACTCCATACTCCTCCACTACAATCATGCGAATCATTTCAGACCTTGAATTGTCAATCTGTACTGAATCAGAGGTTAAAGGTTAAAGGTTAAACTACAATTCGACGACATCACAAGGTGGAACAGAGCATTCTAAGCTTTGGAGATGTAGACAGACGAATAATAAAGTGTTACTTAAACATGTGTGAATGAAACAAAACACAACTCCAGGTCACAGCATTAGACTATTTTGCAAAATGGCCACGTTTACATGATGTTTTTTAACTCTGAATTAATTGTTCTGGATTAAATAGTTCGGAATTAAAATATTCTCCTTCGAGGTTTGCATGGAAAACACATTAAACTGCCTTTATTTAATTCCGCTCAGCGTCTGGGGGCGGGGAAGGTTCTGATTGGACAGAGACACGAACGTATTTACATCGACCGGAAGAAAACACACACTTCAGCTGCTCCCGGCTTTTCATCTTTCAACTTTTCATCTCGGTTTGTCGTTACGCCGCGGACGCAAACGTGATCCAGACTTTTTTTCAGTCGTTCGGGTGTCATGACGTTCACGGCGACATCAGCTCCCGTTGGACGCCACAGTTTTCTAACGCGAAAGTCAATGAACGTGTTTCTATAATAAAGTTGTTTTAGATCAATATTGTGATTTAAAAATGTGCAAATTATAACTGTAGAGCAGACACAAGCACAGCAGGTCTTCTTTAACAAAATAAGCAATAAGAGACATAAGCTATGACCAGGACTAAACCAGGACTAAACTAGGACTATGAGCCACGACTCATAACTACAATAAAGCACCACAAAATAGACAAGGCATTTAAATGTATTAAAGGTTGTATAGAGGATTGTTTAAGGGAAGTGAAATACATTGACAGTTATTTTTCAAATGTTGTGCATGCGTGACACCACCTTCCTCCTCCACAGCTCCTCAGTAGAAACACCTCCTCCTCCCGCCTCTTTACTCTAGAAATCACACTTGTTTACAGCCAGTGTCTGTTCAGAATCACTGTTGAAGTTTCCTGTCTAGAAATAATTCAGCGACCGACGCGTCAGTTTTTAGACCCTTCGTCTGCTTCGTTCGCACCGTCGCTGGAAGAAATCTCCAAGAATCACCTCAGTTTGTCTTTGCTCTTTTTCTCCTCCTCTTCTTTCAGCGACCTCAAAAACCGACTTTCTTTTGCGGCGAACTGGTCGTGGATTCTCGTCCGCCGTCGCGACAAACTTTGTGCGAACTGCGAGGAAGCGACAGTTTAAAAAAGCCTCTAAGAACCGCCGCATAAACCAAGAAATCCCCGCGCGATGACGAGTCAGTTACACTAGAAACGTAGGGAGTTTGATTGACAACTGAACAGCCAATAGAAAATGAGGCAGCCTCGTTTTCTATTGGCTGATGTTTATCTGGCCTCAACACGTCCACAATTGATAGATTTTCATTCTTTTTTTTTGGTCATAATTACAAAGCTGCATCTATGTAATGGTATTTTAAACTTTGACAATTTGAAACTAAAAAAAAAAAAAAAATCCTCCATACAACCTTTAAGTGTGTTCTAATTGGCTATTGGTGCAAATCCCAACTCTAAATGGCTTGTGTCTGTCTACATCAGTGAAACATACTTATTAAAAAAATTTATTTTTTTGCTCTGGGTCGCCATTTTGCCTGTGAGTAGGGCGATCCGACAAGCATGTGCTGAACGACCCAAATTATTTTTAAGAAGAATAAACGTTTACATGATCTAGGACACAGGTGTCAAACATAAGGCCCGGGGGCCAGATCCGGCCCTCCAAGACCTATAATCTGGCCCTCGGCTGATTTTCTTCTAAAATATTTTAATTATGTTTTTTATTAAAATCGTGTTAATTTTCTGTGGTGTTTATCACAGCAGCATCTCCAGTGTCTCTGTACGTGGCCCCTCCCACCAGAGCAGCACAAATGAAGACTTGTCTCTTTCCAAACGCTCTTAAAGGACGATCGTTTTGACTGTTGACCGTGACACCCTCATCAGAAAAATGTCCAACATGAGAAAAGTGGAGCCGAGTGCAGGATTTTACAACAAAAATGGACTTATTCCTATTTACATACAAGTTCATGTGAAAACATTGTGTTGAAATTTTATTTTTCTTAAAGTTTCAGGTTGTTCATAATATTATAATATTTTGTAAAACAAAGAGTTCATCAATTAAAAAAAGATTTCTGTAATAGATTTGCGTTTCCCTGCAAAAATATTTGAACTTATTGTTATTTTTAAGGTATACATACCATGAGTTTTCTGATCCGGCCCCTTTAGGATCAAAGTAGGTTGGATACGGCCCCCGGACCAAAATGAGTTTGACACCCCTGATCTAGGAAGAAATTAATTTGGTTTTAAGATCAGAATAAACCACCCACTTACTTCAGAACGTTTAATTCCATTATAATCACTTCACTTTTTAAAGCGGAATCAAATTTTATTCAGAATTAAATTATTTTTATTCGGAATTAAAGCTCTCATGTAAACGTGGCAAATGCAGGACTTTCTGTAATCCCTGTTTTAACATACAGATGTGTTCAAAATGGTTGGTTCCCTCTGGCAATAAAAGAAAAATCAACAGTCATCACTGAAATAACTTGAAACTGAGAAAAGCAATAATAAATAAAAATTTGCTGAAAATTGTCCAACAGAAATCAAACATTGTTTTTCACCTGTGCTTCAAGATAATTATTAGAAAAAACAAAAATGATGGTACCCTTAACTTTATATTTTGTTGCACAACCTTTTGAGGCAAACTCTGCAAACAAACAATTTCTGTGACTGTCAATGAGACTTTTGTGCTGATCAACAGGTAGTTTGACCCATTTCTCGTGAGCAAACTGTTCTTGTTGTCTCAGGTTTGAAGTTTTTTTTTCTCCAGACGCATGTTTCAGCTCCTTTCACAGATGTTTAAGAGAATTGGAGGGTTTCAGTCATGTGATAACGTTGATGCGCGAATTTCAGGCGGAGGGCAGGAAGTGAAGACAAACACGACAAACAAACACGGCTCTGGAGAACACAGATACGGAGAAGAGTTCTTATTGTCAGGATTTAGAGCCAGGAGCGAGGCAAAAGTACAAGCAGTTAGTCGACAAATATATTGGACGTGAAACTGATCTTATTGAAAATGAGAGAATTTTCAACCGAAGTAAAAGATTTGCCGACAATCGAGGCAGAGGAGATCACGAACTATTTAGCTCTTCAGACATCAATCTACACCAGACAACAGATAAAGGTGTACAAAAGTTTGGAAACATATAACTTTTTTTGTCAGTGGATGGGTTCACAACCTCGGTGCAAAACGCCTAAATGAAGTTTATCGTTTGGTCTTCTCCAGGGTGAGTGTTTCTCTTATTTTATGTGTATAGACGTTATGGAAAAAACTGCAGTGTATCGGCAGTAACTGATCTATCCCAACTATTTAATGTCAACAAACGTCATCAGCCGTTAGTCATTAATGATTCGTTTATGTTAAGGTAAACCACAAAAAACTATTTAGCTTTGTAACAAACCTTTGTCTAAGTGGTCACTGCAGACACGAGCATTAGCGGATTCTGCTCCTCCCGACCGCAGACGTAGGTTTGTAATCCGCTTTTTACGGCGTTGTTCTGTCGGCTTTTCCTATTTCTGACCTTTGTGAACGACTATATTCGGTTCTCTAAAAAAATCGCTTTTCCTTCTCTCGGTTAGAACGATTGGCACAGCCGTAAACTACACAACACATCTGCATTTTCCTCCAGTCAGTTCACTTCCTGCCCTCCATCTGAATTTGCGTGCTGACAAACGTCGCCCTGTGACGCCACGTGAAACCCAGATATTGAGATCTGAGCTCACAGAAGAACACTCCAGAACAGTCCTAAGTTTTGTTCTTAGCCATTCTTGTGTGTTTCATTGTCCTGTTGGAAGTCCCATGACCTCAGTTTCAAGTTATTTCAGTGACCATTGTTGATTTTTCTTTCCTTACCAGAGGGGCACCAACAATTTTGTCCAAGTTTGTATTTTCTTTCCATTACCTGCATCACACCTGCCCTCTAACCCCGCCCCTCTGTCTCCCGCAGGTGTCCTCTTCGCCCAGGCCGCCCCGGGGTCCGCCTCCTCCGCCTCGGCGCCCGCTAAAGCCGCCGCCCTCGCCCGGGTCATCCCTCCTCCACAAACCACGCCTACCTCAACCGCCGCCGCAGCAGCCGCAGCCGCCGCCGCAAGCTCCGCCCCCGTGTCTTAACACCACCACCCCCTTCCCTTGCCCTCCCTCCTTCCCCTCGACCCTCTGCATTTTTTTTACCGAACCACCACGCTAAAAAGTAAAGCCAAAAAAATCCACCTCGTCGCTCCCACGCCTACCCACCACCGCCTATGCCAAAAAAAAGAGACCTGAAATCTCACTTGAAGTACCCTCTATCTCAGGTTTAAACGCTCACCTACTCGCCTCTTTCGTTCTTCAAAAGCCAAAAAAATACCATAGGATAACTCATCAGAGCCAGTATAAATGTATGCATTACCTGTGAATTATTTATTTCTACACAATTGTACAGAAAACCGGAGAACAAAAGAAAGAAATCATAACGTCAAATGGTTAAATACACTGTTTACACGCTACTGACTGACAGCTATGAGATTTCCTTCAGGGGAGAGGTTTTTTTTTTGTTTTTGTTTTTTTGAATCCATCTTTTTCAATGTCATTGTTTTTTGAATATTATTTTTATTCTTTGTGTTTTATCATTTTAAATCTATTTACAATCCTCTCACTGCAGGAAGAAGATCTATTATATATATTTAGAATTTTATGGAGAAAAAAAAAATGAAAAAATTATCTATTTTGAATCAGAAAAGCTTTAAAGATATGTGTTGTTTCTTCAGGGCATATTTACAATGGACCGTTGTAACCTCATTATTTGTGCAGCCTCACTCCGCCGCCGGACGTTTTGAAACCAGGATGTAAACGCGATTTGCCAACTCACAAAATTGTGGAAAATTTATGTACAAGGTCACCTATAAATCTTTGTTTTAGCTTAGGTTTTTTGTAAGTAAAGTTTGAGGAAATTGAGAAAGATTTTTGCGAATTTGCAGGATCCTTCGTCTGGAGAAAGTAGCGGGAAGATTTGTTGATTCTGCAGTTCAAAAAGTTCAAAAAGTAGAAAGTACAGATACAGAAGTAAAAAAATATCCACTTTTAAGACACAGATACCAGAAAAAGTACCGTACTTTGGTTTGTGTACCATTCGTTTTTTTGAATTTCAATTAAAAATGACAAAAAGACAAAACAATAAAATGGAAAAAAACGGTTTTAGTTTTACTGTCAAACAAACTTCAGACTTCAACTTCTATTTTCAATATTTACAGTGAAGTTTATGTCAAGTCACCGTGCCTACACTGAAAAAAAACAATATCTAGATAAGTAAAAATGACTTAAATTAAAAACATTTGACTTTATTTGAGTCGATTCAACTTGACAAGTAAACTTACCGACCAATTTTTCCCCAGTGTGATTTATAGTCCAAAAAATACAGCACATAAAGCCTAATTGGGCTCCAAAAAATGAACAAAAACAACCTCAGTTATTTCCCGGGATTCCTGGGAATCTGAATCTCCTGGGAAATGAATCGTCTTGTCCCAGGATATGATTCATGTAATTTTCGAGAAAATATTAAACCCCAAGTCTGACTAAACCAGAGACACCCAAGTGTGTTTTTCTTAATTCAAGTAACATTTGATTTTGTTCCTTATTTTAAGTGTAGTAAGACAAAAAGTCTAATTCAATTTTACTTGTCAAGTGAAATTTACTCAAATCGTGATCAAACTTTCTTAATTCAAGTCATCTTAACTTGGCTAGATTTAGTTTTTATTGGTGTATTTTAAAATTTTGATATTTTATTCTCTCTGGTTTATTTTTAAGGAAGTTCTGCCAAATTCAGTTTCAGCTGAACAAAGGAGAATTTATCCTTTTTCTCGTCATGAAGTTCAGCAATTACTTTCTTAGGGCCCGTTTACACGAGAACGCTTGCGGGAAAAACGACCCGATATTTGATCAGAAGTGCCTTTCGTTTAGACGGTGACAGCGTTTTTGGGGATTAAAAACGCAAAAATCTGAAACCACCCTCCACAGTGGAAAAAATAGTTGAACACGCTCCGCCGTAGTGTTTCTGTCTACACTGCCCAAGACGCAAAACTCTGGTCAGATCTGCTCAGGTCACGTACACATTTATGTCACGTACAATTGACTTCCTCACACTTTTGCGTCACCGTATCCACGCAGATTTCCTCCCGATAACGCTCATCTAAATGCGGAATATAAAGCGAAAACGCGACACCACTTTTGCGTCTTTTGTTCAGACCGTCATCATATAAACGTAGACTGAAACGCAAAAGTAAAACGCGTTGCTATTTAAAAAAAAGAGAGACGCGTTTGTCCAAAAAACTGCAAGGATTTTTCAGGTAAATTCTTCTAGCAGCAGAGTTTTTTGATTGGTGTTATTTGAATTAAACTCTAAATTAAATATTGGAAATAGAGGTCGAAATCTGTTTTTTGTTTGACACTAAAACGTAAAAATTAAATAACAGACTGTTTTATTTTATTGTTTTTTGTTTTTAATTGAAAGCCAAAAGAACGAACAGTACACGGACCTACTTCTGCTTTTGTACTTCATTACTTTCCGCCAAAATCTGGAAATTATCATCCCATAGAAAACCCACAAGGGAAACTATGCAAACGCCACAAAAAGCCATATACAGCTGAGGAACTGAACCCTCCACAGACCAGAGGATTCAGTTTTACTTTGCTCCCGATGGAGGCGCAAAACGAGTCAACAAAAGCACAAAATCAGCAAAATTCTAACAGTATCGTCCACAATTTATTTACAATCGTGGCTTTTTTAGAAGAGCGAGTCATTTCTAGTTGTCATAAAGTAATATATTTGTAGAATTTGAGAATTTTGTGTGTGTTTGTGCTTATTTAAAACCTAATTTATCCAGGCCAAGTTGGATGGAAGCAATGAAAATCAAATATTTATTGACACGTCGTCGTCATCGTTACGTGAAAATTAGATTAGCAAAAACAGGTGACCTTTTAATCGTTTCTGACAATCGCTCAAACTCCACTCGTCTGACGCGGTTTGTATCTCTGAAAACGAGAAAAAGCTCAGCCAAGAACACTTCAGTTTATCAGAAAACGACTTAAAAGTAGCGAAATTATCAGTCCACGCAGCAAACAAACTACCTCTAGACTAGAATCACGCCATCTCAGAACTAGTTAAGTCAATAATAAACCTGAAAACAACACGAATAACCTCATAGTCGTTTTAAAAATCTTGGCCAAATCAGAGAAAAATCGCTGCGAGTGGTTAATCTCGTGCTTTAAAATGGCCGCCGCCGGAGTGAGGCTCAAAGAAGTGGCGGGAAAATGATGTGTAAATTTTCCCGCGACTCCGGGCTCTGGACCTGCGCAGTCTTCTCACTGTCCCCCATACTGCTGCTTAGGTTCAGATATATATATTTGAAAAACGTTGTACGGGGTGGGCGATATTGGCAAAAAAGTTTCTTGCTATCGATAATCACAAATGTATAAAGCGTATATATAGGCTAGTTTTGCTTCCTTGTTTGCGTATATCAACTTTTTTGTCACATTTTTGTGTCGTTTTTCGGGCGTAGGTCGATAGGTTGCGTTCACGTGACGTTTCGAGATTCAGTTGTGGAAAATCGAGCTGGAGGGCGGCTCTGAAATCAAAAATATAGTTGAATTTTTGTTGTTTTTGAAGGTCAGAATGCTGTTTGACGTGGTTTGTTGTCAGGAGCCTAATCGCTGGGCCTATCCACGTTGTTCAAAGTCTTGTACGTCAACACCAAAAAGGTTAAAAGAGCTTCAAGTGGTTGCTCAAACACAAAGACGTAGTTGTTGTCGGCCGAGCGAGTCTGTCGACCTATTTTCTCGCCGACGGAGGGGTGACCGGATTTTCAAAATTCTAAACTGGGACACGCCCGGTTTGGGATGTTTGGTATGAATAAAGTAGTGAAAAGAAAAGAATTTTTTAAGCGAGGGTACGCAATTCGTGACGCCCACTAGGTAAACAAGGTCTACACCAAGTCAAAACCAGGACTAAACCAGGTCTAAACTAGGACTACACCAGGACTAAAACCAGACTAAAACAGGACTAAACCAAGACTAAAACCAGGACTAAACTAGGTCTAAACCAGGACTAAACCGAGACTAAACCAGGTCTAAACCAGGACTAAAACAGGTCTAAACCAGGACTAAACAAGGACTAAACAAGGACTAAACCAGGACTAAAACAGGACTAAACCAGGTCTAAACTAGGACTAAACCAGGATTAAACCATGATTAAACCAGGCCTAAACCAGGACTACACTAGGACTAAACCCGGTCTAAAGGACCAGGGAACTCTAGGAAAAAACAGGTCTAAACCAGGACTAAACAAGGACTAAACCAGGACTAAAACCAGGAATAAACTAGGACTAAACTAGGTCTAAACCAGGTCTAAACCAGGACTAAAACAGGTCTAAACCAGGATTAAACCAGGCCTAAACCAGGACTACACTAGGACTAAACCCGGTCTAAAGGACCAGGGAACTGTTGGAACATGGGGCCTAATTTTGGAAAAAACAGAACAAAACAAAAAAAACATAGGACTGTGGGAACATAGTCACATTCCCGTGGGAATCTTATTAGTCAGAAATTAGTCAGAAATTGCGATAGTCTTGTTTTAACCCTGATGTAGTCCTGGTTTAATCTTAGTTTAGTCCTGGTTTAGATCAGATTAGTCAAAAATAGGGACACCTGGGATATTTCTTGTATAAAACTGAGACAAATCACTGGTTTTTTGGATAAATCAGGGCTCAAAACTTGGACTGTCCCGGGTAGATGAGGAAGTCTGGTCACCGTAGCCGACGAAATTGCTTCCAGAAACTCCTGTAGAGTTGTTCTGACCCTTCGCCTTCTATTTGAAATCACGATATCGAATTCCAAAACTGTCGTGAACGCAACCTATTCCAAAACGAGCATATCTTCCACACAGCCTTTTTCCATATCCTGTCGACAGTAAACTCGTACGTATCGCCCACCTCTGGTCTCAGTTCTCAGGTTAAAGTTACACAATGTACAAATCCACCCGTGTTCATCCGCTCACAGCACGTAGAAGAAACTCTCTTTGTTCGTAGCTGTGCGGTGGAGCGTCTTAAGGTCAGCTGCATGCGTTTCTCACACCATCACCTCCGCCGTTGCGTTCGAGTGCGACTGGGCGCTCAGACAATCAGATATCCGCGCTCTCGGGACGGCCACTTTGACATTTTTTTTATTTTTTACTCGTATTTTTGTAACTCGTCCATCGGGGCTTTGCGTGTTTTGGCGCGTCTTCTTCGGATCCAAGTGCTTCTTACGCTCCCGGTCTCATCAGGATTAGACTGTAACGCAAAATACTCTGACTGTTTTAAAGTTTTAAAGGTCCTATATTACACTAAAATGACTCTGCGTGAGCTTTTAGTCACGTTATAATGTCGTTCCCTCCTCCAAAACAAATCTGGAGTTGCGTTTTGTTGCATTCAAACGTTTATTTTTAGTCTGTCTACATCTGCAAAGCTCAAAATGTGAGTTAAACGTGAACAAAACACAACGTCAGGTCTGTTTGGGATGAGAAAACGTAGTGCAATATAGGCGCTTTAACTGCAGTACTTGTAATATAGGCCAAGCATTTTTTTGTAAAACGATCACTGATGATTGTTAATCTACTCAAAGCGACCTCATATTTCCTACGCTGCGAGGAATCAATCAAGTCTTGAGTAGTAGGGTCGATCCCAAAGCCTTAAATTGAGAGGAACTTGCCGTCGCAAAACGTCGCAAACAAAGACTCTTCGTCCACACGCTGTTAAGCACATTAAAGGAGACAAATTACGCTAGATGGACTTCTTTTAATTTCAAAACGATTCTGTTATCAGCAGAGAGGGACAAACATCCGATCTAGAGCTGTCAAAAATCGAATATCAGACACTAATCGATACAAAAACTAGGATCAAAACTAGACACCGTACTTTTCGGACTATAAGGCGCACTTAAAATCTTTTAATTTTTGCAAAAATCGACAGTGCTTACTGATCTCGAACCGATTTTATGTGGTACACGGCGCTTGAAAATCTGTCAAAATGTTTTAGTACAACTTTGGTAAACTATGAAGTTGCACAAGGAGTGAGCAGTTTTTTCAGCAATTATAGTTTATGTAAATGAGCCATGTGGTTTTAAGTTTAGTTTCTGTAAAACGTAAACAAATGTGCGCAAAGCTGTATCAAACACATTATTACTCACTGTATATTTGAGTCGTTCTCGTAGAAAATAAACAAACTTTATCCACCCACATTCGTCCGTTTGTTTCGTTTAATTCGCCTTATAATCCAGTGCGATTTATGTATGAAAATAGATGAGAGAATTCAACATTACTGATATAATCCGGTGCGCCTTATAGTCCGAAAAATACGGTACTAAATTTTTCGCAGGTATTGATACTAAAAAATCCCATTGACAGCACTGAAATGAATCTGAAATGAAGTTTACACGATATAAGTACTACAATTTAACATCGAAAATCACTTTATTATCGTCGTAGAATCAGAATCGGTGTTGAATAGAGAGAAAACGTAGTCCCGTGACAACACTAATCCAATAGAAAGTCTTAAAAATCGCCTGAATTGTCTCCTTTAAAGTCTGTATTTTTTATCCGGTGAGAGACTCAAAGGTCATATACTGTATTTCTACTCGAGTTTGAAGAAGCAGACAGGAGCAAAAACAAAAATCCACACGTTGAAATCTGAATTCTAAATAAAAAAACAACCCCAGAAAGAAAAGAAAAGAAAAGCATTCTTTAAAGACTTCTTGACCAAAACGTGGGCTTCAAATCTTCTGTCAACCTCAAAAAACGTGGATATTTAAGTTCAAATTACAATGATTTAGCTTAATCTTTGACATTTTTTGGATTAATTTACCGATCAGAAGTTATTTAAACCATTCTTATTTGAGATACGAGTTCGATACCGGACTAAAACGACGACTATTGTGGATTTGAATCTTTATTTTTCGCAAACTTCTCCTATCTGCTTCTTTAAAGTTTTGCTTCGTGGAATCCAGGGTGTGATTTCGTCGAGTTCTCCGATATCAAAAGCTCAAAAAAATACACTCTTATTTATCTATAAACTCTTATTTAGTTGCTTCCAAGTTCTGAAAAACGTTGATTTACTGTGATGAAAACGTCCGAGTAGCCGGTTCGTGCCAGCTCTCGCCGCTGCCAAATAAGACCTCGCTGATTTAACCTGAGCAGGCAGATTTTTGCAGAAGTGAAACCCCCATCTGTCCCGTGTTACAGTTACAGAGGCGTTTTACAAGATGACTCGCAAAAAAAAAAAGCTCCTATGAATTCGGATTGCTAATTTGAGTAGTTTTGACTAGTTTAGATCTATTTACTTTGCATTAATAACTGCCAAAATCACACTTGAAATAACTAAGACAGGTCAGAACCCAACGTAAACCAACTTGAATAAGCTACTTCCTCCACGTAAATCAATCTAAATGAGTAAGAACTACTCAAAAAACGCGATGTAAAGGTTCTGAATTCAAATCGTTTTAACTAGAATAGACGTTTTTACGGTTTTTGCCGGGCGTATAATCAAGCCGAAACAATCGTTGGCGATGCAGAGTAATCCGAGTGTCGTTCGTTCATTTGTTTTTCAAAATAAAACCAAAAATAAGAAAAGGAAAAAGCAACAATTTTCTTCATTATTTGTCTCTAAAACCAAAATGAAAAAAAAAAAAAAACAGATAATGATTAATTTTTTTAAATTTTTGATTTTGTGTTTAATTGAAAAAAAAAAACAAAAAATCTGATAACGGACGTTTCCATTTACGTGACTTAAACTGAGATGCTGGACTGAACCAGGACTGAATCCGTTTTCAGTCCTGGTCTGGTCCCCGTCTCAGTCTCGGCCTCAGTCCTGTTCTTAGTTCTGGTCTGGTTCCAGTCTCAGTTCCGGTCTGATCCTGGTCTGGTCCTGGTCTCAGTCCCGGTCTGGTCCTTGTCTGGTCCTGGTCTCAGTCCCGGTCTGATCCAGGTCTGGTCCCGGCCTCAGTTGTGGTCTCAGTCCCAGTCTCAGTCCCGGTCTAAGTCCTGGTCCTGGTCTTAGTCCCAGTCTGGTCTCGGTCTGATCCCGGTCTCAATCCCGGTCTCAGTCCTGGACCTGTTCCTGGTCTCAGTCCCAGTCTGGTCTTGGTCTGGTCCTGGCCTCAGTCCCAGTCCCAGTCTCAGTCCTGGCCTCAGTCCTGGTCTCAGTCCTGGTCTCAGTCCCAGTCTGGTCCTGGTCTCAGTCCTGGTCTCAGTCCCAGTCTGGTTCCTGACCTGGTTTAATTCTGTTTTAGTCCTGGTTTAGTTCAGCATTTCAGTTTAAGTCACGGAAACGAAAAACAGTTGTTATTAGTTTTTTCCATTTTTCATTTAAACACAAAATCGAAAACCGAAAAAAAGAATCATTATCTGTTTTTTCATTTTGGTTTTGGAGACAAATAAAAATGTTTTTTCATTTTCTTATTTTTGGTTTTATTTTGAAAAACAAATGAATGAACGACACACAGATTCAGAGCAGAGCCGGCAGTAGCCCAGAGACTCCGCCATGTTGCCTTTAGTGATGTTGTTCGGTCGTGCGGGTAGAAACAGAACGTGCAGAACTTAAAAATATTAAGTACAGTCGGCGCAAATCTTTTTTTTTTTTTTTTTTTCTGGACTGTACGTTTTGAACTAAGAGCCTTATGGACAGCCGGTTTTGCTCTAGAGTTACCGCAATGGTCTCCATGTTCTCTGAAATGATAAAAGTATCGGTGTGACCAGTTTTTCTTTGGTAATTTTTCTAAATGAAGAATGTAAACAACACAAAAAAACTACATTATTCTTAACAGTTTTGACAAATATCCCTTAAATCAGTTAAGTTGAGAGTAAAAACGTAACTAGTCAAAATTACTCACAAAATCCAAGTAACATGCTCTATTCACGCTTACGTCACAAACCAGGAAGAAAACAACTTACTATGTAATTCCCGACACTGCACTCGCCGACCGACTGTGATCAAACCCGCTGAAGTAAACGTGAATTTGGCGTCCTCATCTCTTCTAATCGCATGTAACTTTACGCAGCCACCAGCGAGTACCTTTACAGAGCCACCGGAAGAACCTCGCCGGGCTAAAGGTGAATCTGGAGTCATGCACCATTGAGCTCGACCCACTGACTTGAATGGGCCATTTTGAAACCCCGGGGCTTTGAAGTAACACAGACGCAGCAAGATACTGCAGTAATACGAGTGACTGAAATTGTCTTTTAAACCACCAACGCTCCAAACACCATGAAAACACTTCATACAAGCGGCACTAGGCACAGCTATCTTAGGCCCCGCCCACACTAGTTCGTATTCGAGTCGTTTTCGTTGTGGATGCAGTGTTCGTTCACTCTAATCCGACTGAAAACGGCTCCAGACACGGAACGATGTGGTGCCTCCAGCTCCAACGAATTCACCTGAGTACAGATCTGATCCGGCACCGTGTGGACGCCTGAAAACGCTGATACTCTGATGGAGGTCTGTGCGCCGCGAAGTAATTCACGCTAAGAGGCTAGAATATATGTCCGTTCATATAAACGTGTGTCTGTGTGTACGACCTGCAGACGTATAATCTCTGAAAAGTTTAACATGAACCCATCTCCAACACGACAGAAACACAGAACAGACTCACCATCAGCAGAACACCCCTCTGTCACAGAAAGAACACTCTTAGGCTGCGTTCAGACTGCAGCCCGAAGTGACCCAAATCCGATTTTTAGGCCTCTATGTTCCTGTATCTGATCTTTTAATGACAGTCTGAACGACACAGATCAGATTTTTTCAAATGTGACCCAGGACACTTCGAAATGTGGTCCTGAAACCGATACATATCTGATCTTTTGACATGCGACTTCAGTCTGAACGGCCAAAGCGCATGAATCTGACCTACACGTTATCAACAAATGACAAACGTCACTATTCTGCGCTGAAGTAGGCGAAAATTGTTAATGAACTCCGTGTCACTGAAGTGAAGCACATCACCACTCACCACGACCAAAAACCTCGTCCTTCTCCTTCTCAATCTCCTCCTTAAAACAAGTAAGTTGTTCATGTTCTGGCTCCGGTACGAGAGGAACTTTAAAATCTCCAGGTGCTCGATGCTGCGTCCATGTTTGGACAACTTCTGTAAACACAGAGACGCTCGCTGTGGTTGACGTCGTCGTGTCTCCAGTGTCACATGCGGGACACTTTCGGGCCGTTTAATGTTCACACTGGAGTCACATACAAGTCGCATTTAATTTGAAATGTGAACGACCTCGAAAAAACATCAAATTTCACAAAAAAATCTGAATTGAGCATTAAACCCTGCAGTCTGAACGTAGCCTTAGTCCCACAGAAGCTGAACTGCATCGGCGACACAAGGAGTGATCTGTTTTTTTTTTTGAGCGCTCAGTTTACGCAAATGCGGTTTTAAGTTTAATTTCTGTAAAACGTAAACAAATGTACTCAAAGCTGTGTGGACAGGGAAGGATTACGGACGCAGATTGTTTCCAGTACGGTGATTTGTTTCGGTCTTGGATTCTTTCTCGGAATCCTTGCTCGTCTCCGGAGTTCTTCTGAGTTCCACTGTCTGAGGAACAAGGACGTGTCAGTGCGTGTCACTTGGCAACGTCCTCAGAACTTCGAGTCAGATGAATAAACAAACGCACCGTTACTACCACGAATAAAGCCCACTGGAAGCTTGTTTCTGAACGTCTTTCTGGTTTGTGACGTAAACATGAATCGATCCTTTTGTCTTTAATACTGAATACAGACATTTATATCGATGAGACTCTTTTCAGTTTTCTCAAATATGGCCTTACTGCGCGTCCTCTGTCCACACGTCTTTCAGCGCTCGTCCTCAGCCGTCCCCCGACGCCCCGCAGGCCTGACAATCAAACGCTCATGTGACTAAAAGCTTTCACCTTTGACGAGGGGGGAGGGGGACACGGCTCAATCAATTCTCTTTATGAAGTCGTGTTTATGACCGCGTGACCTCCGTGTCCCCGAACGCACCGTGTCTGCTTCAATGACCCCATGATTGTACCGTACCGACAATCACAACGCTGCGAAAAAAGAACGTTATCTGGTTAAATGACTTGAATTCAGAAATTGACCAGATTATTTGACTTGTTTTAAGATATTTTTGTACAAGTCAGGTCATCTAAAGAACGTTATTAGTTTAAATTCTGAAATTTGGTCATTTTGATTCGATTATTTGACTTGTTCTGAGATATTTTTCTGCAAGTTAGTCCATCTAAAAGAACTTTATCAGTTGGAAGGACTTGAATTCAGAAATTTCGTCATTTTGTTTTGATAATTTGACTTGTTTTGAGATATTTTTGCACAAGTCATTTCATCTAAAGAACATTATTCATTTAAATGATTTGAATTCAGAAATTTCATCATTTTGATTTGATTATTTGACTTGTTTTCAAATATTTTTGTACAAGTCGGTCCATCTTAAAAGAACGGTATTAAATTAAATGACTTGAATTCAGAAATTTTGTAGTTTTGATTTGATTATTTGACTTGTTTTGAGATATTTTTTACAAGTCAGTTCGTCTAAAAAATAGTTATTCTTTTAAACGACTTGAATTCAGAAATTTCATTGTATTGATTCAATTATTTGACTTGTTTTGAAATATTTTTCTACAAGTCAGTCCATCTAAAAAAAAAAAACATTATCAGTTCAGAAATTTTTGCACAAGTCAATTCATTTTAAAAAAAGTTATCAGTTTAAGTGACTTGAATTCAGAAATTTTGCCGTTTTGATTCGATTATTTGACTCGTTTTGAGATATTTTTTTACAAGTCAGTTGATCTAAATAAATGCGTCAAAACAAATTCAGTTAAGATTAAAATCATGAATTCAACTTTTTCTTTTTCTTTTTTTTTTTTGGCAGTGAAAATTGTATAAAAACCACACGAAATGCCTCAACTAGAAAAATGTCTCTACCTCACTACTACTACGATAAAACAGCTTTAATACCGACAATCACGAAACTGCAATGCAACTTTTTGTCTTCATATCGAATCATATCACGCAATCATAAACTCTGCCAAAGCACGGGACGTTTTGCAGAGACACAATCAGTAAAACGCAAATGTAAAAAAAATGAATGAATATTTTTAAATGCCCGTAATTGTAATTTCATTCGCATATCTTTTAACGTGTCTTTACGTTCTATTATCGGACCTACGCTTCACTCTTTTATGTCTTTGTGCTGCGTATATGTGGCATCGTGTCTGTTTCATGGAAGAGCATTGGTTCAGATTGGATTTTGGATTTGAAAATTTAAAATTTGACTTCATTTTTTGGTTTGGATTGCATTGATTTTGGATTTCGGTCACTGAATTTCGACGTGTACTTGTTTTTTGTCAGTTTAACAATTCCAAATTTGTTGTACATTTTTAGCACGGATCTTTTCAAGCCCACAAAAGTCTTGCCAACTTGAAAATCTGAAACTTTCACAACTCTGAATTCAGATTTGAAATTTTTAATTGTATTGAATATCTAAAACTAAACGTGAAATTTTCATTTTGAATTCTAAACTGAGAGAGAATTCAGTGACTGGAACTCATAATAATAATAATTTAAAGAACCAAACATGTTTTTCAAGCTTAAAAAAACAACAACAATCTAACAAGAAATTCACCGGAATTTAAATTCAAAATCTTAAGTTTTGCCATCTTGAAAATCTGAAACTTT